CTCTCTCTCTCTCTCTCTCTCTCTCTCTCTCTCTCTCTCTCTCTCTCTCTCTCTCTCTCTCTCTTTCTGGCTGCACTTAGGAGGCACGGACGACTGAATGATGCTTTCCATCCACCTTCTGTCGCTTACTAACAGCGCGGGACATCGAGCGAAGACAAATCTATGCGCATACGCGCGTATAACGCGCGCGAGAGCGGGTTTATGAACTCGCTGGCTGCACCGCGCCACGAAGATACATTTCTTTTTCTCCCCTTTCCTGGCCTTTTCTGCCTCTTTCTGCCCTTGCGCGCGCGCGCAGCGATTTTAAAGGCCCACTTTCTGGCCCGCCGCCATTTGGCTATTCCGCATCTCTATGGTAGTTATTAATGTCGCGATGTATTCTACGCGAAATGATAGAGAACGAGACGCGTGCACATACGCACAACGTGCGTATTCATATATCTTCGAAATGCGAACGACACCTGGCACATGATATACGCGCGATTTCAAATGATCACAATGTTGCGGGCGCGGTCATACGTCTACGTCCGCATTCGGTTTGCGGCTCACCGACACAAGGCGGATATTGTCTTAGCCGGCTCATCAGTCACGGCCGGTGCAGTCATTATATTTAATTAATCATTAGACTGAATGGCTCGATTTATTGCGTAGTCACGGCCAATGGTACGAGGGGGCTCAGAGGAGGCGGATATTGCCCGTCTAGCTTTCTGACTGGTGTTTTCGTTTTCTCCCCTTCTCTCCTCGCTCTCTTCTCGTTCGTGCACGCGCGTGAGCGTATACCTGAGTCGAAATTTTGACTCCTGAAGAAAAGTACCAATTCTTGGACACGTACTTAATTTTGGATATTTTTATCACTTTGGTCTTTAATACGAATATTTAAACTTTCAACATGAAATATATACTCAATACTTGCGTATATATTTTATGTTGAAAACTTAAATATTTGTATTCAAAGATCAAAACAGAAAGAATGACCAGGACTAAGTACGGGCATTGGTACTTTTACCTTAATTGATCCAGCATATTCCTGTCCCTCACCGCCACGGGCCATTGATCTCTCCTGCGATCAAGTTTCGGTGAACGTATAAAATTCGCCAAGAGGGAGGAAACACTCGGAACGAGGATTATATCTCACTGTACGTAAGGACACGCTCCAAAACACGGGTAGGTGGTAGCCGCGGGAACCCTGCGCGAAAACCGACATAATTGGAAATGTCGACGGGATTTACGGTCCACTAAAGTTCTGTTACGATCCACTAAAAGTGTGTGTTTCTTCGTG